CCTTGTTTTTCTTCTCTAACGTATACAACTTTTCTTCTTCTCCACTGATTTCGGATGTCCACAACATCACTATCGTCGGGTAGACCCCCGACGACCGGAGATCCTCAAACTTTGCAGGTCGAAGGTCGTACCTCGACTGAAAACCATCCAAGAAATCTTGCGTTATGTTTCTTGCACTGTTATATTTAGATTGGCATGACGCTGATCTTAGATTTTCGATCTTCCAGTCGACGCTTTCGAACAGTTTAGACGCCATTGCAAAATGAGCATAGCATTGTTTTGTCATTGTTTCGTAGTTCGATGTGGATCTTTTGGTGTCATTGTCATTGTTTTACTGCCTCTGAGGAGTGCATCGATTCTTCTTATACGGCTCGCTCGCATGATTCCCAGTTACACGTGTCTGTCTTGGGGATCGCCTCTTATTTGAAACCCCATGTTGTTCCTCAGTTGTGGTTTCGATTACGACTCGTTGAATCACGATAAATCCACCTCCAACCGACCTCAAAAGAGGTTGTCCCTATGGAAAACCCACGGACAGTTAGAGCCAGCCGAGACCCAGTCAGTCTCATTCCCGATGTTGCTTGCCAGACCGCCAGATCCTGGCAAAAGGAAGGGCATATCCTGTACTTGTTACTTACTTGTACTAGTACTCCAGAGTGCATGTAGACTGGTTACCAGGTAGCTACTCGAGTACTAGCTACATAGTACTGAAAGGCTGCCAGGGTCCGATGCTCCAATGTACCAGCAAGGAAATTCAATCCGAATGTTGTCATCTTAAAATAATGGTACATGTACGAACCGGTACAGGTACTGGTTCGGTACAGCTGTACCGTGCAGAAGTGCTGTATCCTTGACACTTGACACCATTTCAAAAAGAATCCAATCCTACTCAGCGTACGAGCATTGAGTTAGAAGAATCTTTCCTTTCTTATGTCTTATGCTTCCTCATCGGCTTTTTAATCTTAAGTTTGACCACCGAAATCATGTTCTGGTCATTCTCTTGGTCATATTTCCGTAGAAAGGGCACTATGAACTTTAACACTTACAGTGTCGAGCTGACGTACGTGTTTAGTTGTTATTGGATCCACTGTGTTCACAGAGCTGTTCACAGTTCCAAGCTCCCAGTATCAAAGGAATAAGAAAGGAGGAGAAGCAGTAAGTCAGGAGGCCTGCAAGGCCAAATAATTCCTTCACAATTCAGAAAACAGTTGTGGTTGCCGCTGCTGCCACTGCGAGCACCTTCTTTCACCCCAGTTTCCAATCACCCAGTTTCCAACCATCATATCGGTAGCGCGACCCTCAGAGCTTCCCTGACAAGCCCACCAGGCCACCAAGAGTCCATTCTAACTTATTTCTCAGTATAAATTTTGTAAGATTGCTTTTTGCTTTCCAACCAACCACCACCATGGCTTTCAAGTGTTTCTTCCTTGGGAGTGTCCTCTATCTCCTTTTGCTTCGTGGTGTCCATGCCAATGCGAGCTGTGGCTCTTGCGCCGTACCCCACAAGTACGATGCGGATCGCCATCAGGTGGTCTACAAAGTGGGTGTGCTGAACTTTCGTGGTCCTGATTCTGCCTTTGCCCAGCACAACAGGACATTTGCCGATTACCTGACGGCGACTGCCGGTCAACGATTTGATCCTCCCGTTTCCTTTCAAATGGTTCCCGTGAACTTTCAGAGCATGTTTGACGAGGCAGAAAAGGGAACCGTCGACTTTCTCTACCTCAGTCCAAGCCCGTTCACGTGTGTTGAAGCCGAGTTTGGTGCTCAGTCGTTGGTGTCACACATTTCCAAGCGAGTAGTAGGAGGCAATACGTATACCTTGGAAAAGTTTGCGGGCGTGATTGCAGTGGTAAGTTTCATTAGATTCGTCTTCGAATGGCATGGTTAGGATTCGTTGGACGAGATGATGGATTTGCTGACATCCAATTGATTGATTGATTGATTGATTGATTGATTGATTGTCGCAGAGGGCAGATAATCACGAGATCAAGACTCTACAGGACCTCAAGGGAAAGGTGGTTGCCTCGGCAGCCATCTCCTCGTTTGGGGGTGGAGCCATGCAGTTTCGGGAAGTGATCAATGCCGGCATGTCCTTTATCAATGACCCAAAGCAAATGGTCTTTACGGGGAATCAGGCTCAGATCGTCAATGGTGTCATCTCGGGAAAGTTTGATATTGGTTTCGTTAGAACCGATCAAATCGAAAGAACCAACGATGCCGATGGCAACCTGGTCGATCCCAATCTGATCAAGGTATTGGAGTCCAAGCCCAACTTTCTCAATGGAGTACCCTTTCCGTTTGAAGCTAGCACCCAGCTGTACCCGGAATGGAATTTGGGGGCCATGGAGACTGTAGACTCGCAAGTGTCCAGGGAAGTTCAGGCAGCCATGCTGGCACTGGCGGAACATTCCAAAACAGGAGAAGCCATACAGGCTTGTTTGGATGCCAACGTTAGCAGTATTGCTACTTGCAACAACCTCGAGGAAGTCGCTCCCAATGCCAGATGTGACACGACCGTCGAGATTGCTGCCATTGCAAAGGATGCAATGTACGTACGAAAGTTCCAAGTGTATAGATGATTTTACTTGCGGTTGCTCACCTCCTTGTTGCATTTCCAATCTCTTTTCTACCGTACAGGACCAATGGCAAGTACGCCGGGTTTCGGACCACGCAAAACTACATTGAGATTCGTGCCATGCTCCAGGACACTGGTTTCATCCAAAAGGACGAGGTGAGGAACATTTGGAAATGTGCGCGTCCCGCCTTTCTCTACGAAGCCATCGTCTGTCCTACAGGACATTTCAAAAAGAGCAAGGAAGAAGTCGAAAATGGGTGCGCTCAAGTGGGATTGCAGTGCGATGAAGGGCACCAATGCGTATGCAATCCTTGTCAAAAGGCATTTGATGTGGACATCTTCCCCATGTCAAGTAGTGATAGCTCCAACAAGACAACCCAAGGTTGCGCCAAAATGTCGCTCTGTGGGGGGGTGGAGCAGCGAGAAACTCTGCGTTTCCAAGCCATTGATAACAAAAAGCGGGTGGGGGCTGTTATGAACGTGACAGTGCGAGAAGGTGACTTTGAACAACGGGCGATTCCGGTCTACCAGGTTGATACGCATGTGTACGAGTTCTCTGTATCGGCACAGAGGGTCGGTATCTTGATTCTGGAGGTCTTTCTCGATGGCGAACAAACCCCAGAGTCGCCTTTGAGGGTTCAAGTGTACGAAAGACAGTGTAGTGAAAATCTTCACGAGGCAGACGAGGATGGTAACTGTGTCTGCACTTCCGGTGCCGTTTCCATGGGCAACGCTTGCGTCTCTGTTGGCGTTGTTATTGCCATTGCATTGGTGCCCATTGTCTTGGTGAGCATTGCATGGGTATGTTGGTACGTAGACAAGAAAAAGAAGAAGGCAGACCTCATCTGGTCTGTCAAGATGGAAGAGTTGGCTTTTGATGAACCACCAACAGTGATTGGTCAAGGTAGCTTTGGGCTTGTGCTCCTGGCGGAGTACAGGGGCACACAGGTAGCAGTGAAACGTGCCATTCCTGCTAAGGGCTCCAAAGAGGATGACCTTTTCTATGATGACGACACTGAATCTTCAACTGTCAATCGGTCGGGTCAGCTAAAGAACAAAATAACCGCAAATCCGAACGGGCAAGAGGACTTTGAGGATGAGGCAGACTTGGAAGATCCACTGAAACATAGCCACCATTCCAGGAACGCAAATGCAGGTACCAAGTCCATCATGAAATCAGGGATGATGGCAAATTCTGGTGGGCATAGCAGCGGCTTCGGATTTCGTGGTTGGGGGGTCTCCAGTTATGGTCGTCACAAGGCAATGTTTATTAAAGAAATGCGTAAGTTCTATTCTGATGAGCTTCAAAGCAAAACGTTCAATTTAAGATATCCGCCTTACGTTTGCTGTTCCTCTCTGTCTATCCTAGGGCTGCTCTCAAAGGTGAGTGTGTAGATTGTGTGCTTCGTCCATTGGAGTTTCGAATAAAGGCACACCAACAATTCCTTCTTGATGGATACCATAGCTTCGCCACCCCTGTATCACCACCGGTACGCCTCCAAGCATCCAGTACGTTCGTACCTCCAATTTTGCCATGCCCTCATCCCTATCATGTTCGAACTGTTTCAGTGATGGGTGCTGTACTAGAGACAGCGGAAGTCCCTATGCTTGTGATGGAGTACTGCTGCCACGGTTCACTATACGATATTTTGCGAAATGAAACAATGCCGTTGGAAGGTGACCTTGTGTTGACTATCCTTTGCGACATCGCAAGTGGAGTTCGGTTCCTTCATGCAGCCAAACCGCCGGTCATCCATGGGGACATCAAATCAGCCAACATATTAATTGGTAAGTGGGAGTGAAGGGGGATTGGAGGCTAGGAAAGAAACAGTCTTCTCACCGCTGCACACCGCCTGACGCAGATGGACGATTTCGAGCTAAAGTTGCCGGTAAGTTCAAATCCCGCAGCCAGGTACCATGACCAGGACTTGTAGATACTGTTGCCAGCCAGGATAATTGAACATGGGCAATGTTCCCCATCTGATCCTTCGTTGCTCACGGCATTCTATTTTGCTTCGTGCTACCCCTCCTTTTCTCTGCACAGATTTCGGGCTTAGCACAGCGGATCAAAAAGTTGCGCTTGGCACTCCTTATTGGATGGGCCCGGTAAGGACGAGGAGGGCAAAACGCATCCTGGATGTTCTCGTCGCCATGATTCTTACAGAGTTTTGATCGTTGTGGTATCGCAGGAGCTCTTACGAGGGGACTCTTTGAACAACGCTGCATCTGACATGTACAGTATTGGTGTCGTTGTCTACGAGATTTTCGCACGAAAAGATCCTTACTTCGGCGAAGACCCGAATGAAGTCATGAGCCAGATCGTAGACAGGAAGATCAACAAGCGTCCTCCGATTCCATCCTCGTGTCCGCCGGCGATTGCGAGACTCATGAAGCTGCTTTTGTCAGGCACTCCGTCAGCCCGTCCCACCGCTGCCGAGCTTGACCATCGTCTAAAAGAGCTCGATGCCAGTAAAGTTGCTCCAGGACAGAATCCCTTATCGCATCGAATCAGGAAGGATCAGCCATCAGATGCTGCAGCCAGGAACGAGTTCCTCTACAAAGTCTTCCCTCACCACATTGCCGATGTTCTCGCGAGTGGAGGCAAACCAGAACCCGAGTCTCATGAGATTGTTACAATGTAAGGACTTTTGTCTTGGCTACACCTTGCGGAGTCGAGTCAGTCCCGTCTCACCTGCTGTCCTTGTTGCATTCATAAACAGTTTCTTCTCGGATATTGGTAGGTCTCGAAATCCATGTTTTGGAATCTTCTCAATTGAATCGTTCATTGACAGTCGCTTTTTCTTTCCTCTCTAGTTGGCTTCACAAATATTTGTAAGTGACACATACAATCAACAGTTTCGCACCAACGACGTAAATCACATGACTAACAACCACCACCTTTTGACAAACAAAACAGCTTCCACCTTCTCACCTATCAAGGTATCCAAAATGCTCGATCGCTTGTACTTGGCATTCGATAGTCTAGCAGAGAAGCACGAGCTCTTCAAGCTAGAAACAATCGGAGACGCATATCTTGCAGTTTCCAATCTTGTCCGAGATCAGCAAGAAGACCATGTAAAGAAGGTGGCAGAGTTCGCTATTGATGCGGTAAAGGCTGCGTCTGAGGTTCCCATTGACGTGGAAGACGTGAGCAAGGGCTACGTCAATATCCGTGTCGGTTTCCATTCGGTAAGCAAACCTTTGTCAAGTCCATTACCACAGGAGTATCATATCTCAACTGTGCTTCTCGTTACTGATCCTTTCACGAGTAGGGTCCTGTGGTATCGAATGTTGTTGGAAATCTCAATCCTCGGTATGGGCTGTTTGGGGACACGTAAGTGACTGATCGTTGACGCGAGGAAGCAACTGTCGAACAAGTACTAGTATTCTCTGACTCCAAACTCCCTTACAATCATTGGCACATCTTCTAAAGGGTCAACGTTGCCTCTCGAATGGAAAGCACGTCGGTGGTTGGCAAAATCCATTGCTCCGAGAAGAGTGCACACTTGCTAATGGCGCAGGCTCCTCAAATACCCATTAAGCTGCGCGGGGAGACAACGGTGAAGGGAAAAGGAACCATGAAAACTTACTTTGTCGAGAATGGCAATTAGAATCGTTTCCCTTGTCCGAAGTATTGGAAACCGATTGTAGTTAAAAGGGGGATTGTATGCATAGTAGTCTACATATTCTTTACAGCAAAACAGATCGGATTTTATTGAGTTTGCCAACATTTTATTGGGTTTGCGTTGCGTTGCGTTGCATCATCCGGACATGGCGGTACTGAGAGTACCGCTGCCGTACAGGTACGATGTTGAATATTACCCCAACTTCGGGATCACTTCTTCCAGGAGCACAGGAGTTGACCATGCGCGAAACAAGGAGCTCAGACCGTGGAAACGAAAAGTTTGTTCTCCTTGTTATGATACCGGTACGAGAGAGGAATGGGAGCGACTGCTGGAATCCTTCCAGATCTATCTTGATAGTGCTTTCCAGAGACTAGCTAGCTCTAGCTGTTCGCATCTCTTGCAAAGCGGTCTCCACTACAGCTCACAGAGATCGATTTCCTCCTCGAACCGGGTAACTTGCAAAATGGCGGTATCCTAGAACCCCCCCACCACTTTTTGAGCTGTGACCATCTTTTCAGTTGAAGTGGTCAACCGGCCAAACAGCGACGCAATTGAAATGAATACTATTGGTGGTTGCTGAAAGCTGGTACTCAAAACCGACAACGATGCCCTATGATTCAAGGACTTGCTCTCCTCTCTGTATCCTACCGTATGGCAGTACATGCACCGATATCTGGTCATGTACGCTTGTACCGGTACCGGTGTGTTTGCAGCGCACGTTACTGTAGACTGCAGCGGCGCAACATCATTCCTTGTCATGGCAACGTTGGGATCGGGTGGCTACTTCCAGCCAGCAGAGCAGTATGCAATTGGCGAAGCTAGGTCATTTCACTCATCTTTTCAATGTAGCTTCCACTGCCCTGGAGTACCAAGCTAAGTACCCAAGACACTCCCTAGTTAACCATGATGGATTGGCATTTTGGCTGCCTCGCGCAAAACGGGAACCGATCCGGAATGTACCGAGGTTTCATTCAATTGTCATTTTGGAAGGACATTCAGAATCTTTCTGGGGATTTCGGTCTTGCCAAATTGCGCCGAGAGGATTCATCTACCGGTACGAGTACGGGTGACGGAGCCAACGATGAGAGTGGATAAGGGGCAGAGCAATACGCGCGGCAAAGTCCTCTCCCCTCATTGTTAGTATAGTTGAGTAGTAGGGGATAACTGGTAGTCTAACGTGCTCAAGATGATGTTCACCATTGCTACTCATGTCCCTGGACTGCTGATACCAAGGAGGTTCCACGTCATCTCGGTTGCTACGGAAGATATCCGTTCAGCTTGGCGGGCCTTATCTGCACCAACCAGTGCCAGTACTCAACTAGCTAAATGCAGCTACTATTCCCCCTGTTTGCCTCATCAGCACGTCCAACAGGTTATGTCCCGGAACAGCGCACGTATCTACAACTAAATAGGGGAATATAATTAGATGCCCCCAAACTTTGTGTTGAAGTTGATCTATTCTTTTGTAACAATTGATATTGATCTTGGTCACAGACACGAACCAGGCATCCGAATGCTTCTACAGTTTTCTACCGGCATCGGAAGCAGAGCAGCCGCCGGCCATCAATCGTAGGTGGAGCGCGAACTAGCAGTTACCAAGCCACTTTGTGGGATTGCATCCACTTCATAACACAACAACCAACACTTGCGGAAGCATCACGCGGTATACCCAAGCAAGAGTTAAGTTTGCAAAGACTAATTTGCGACAGGTCCACATCTAACCTGCATCAGTTGTAGATATCCAGTTGTGTGATCGTTAGCTTTCCTGTGAGCTCATCCTAATCTCACAAATTCAAAGAGCAGAGCATCCATCCACATTCAAGAATTTCGCGAAGCTTCCCGTTTGCCTCTGTGCTGCCAGATAGTTGCCGCGAGAGAACGCACCTCGACTGCTTACGAATCATTAACTGCAAGCGAAACGTATCACACGACCGCCACTGCCGATTGCTCTAAGTGACTTGCATCACTACCACCAACGACCCGACGACACAAGTTAGACACAGAAAGTATGAAAATGCCTCACGTTGATGACCACACCCTCCGGTCTCGGTCACCCCATCCTCACCATCATCAACAACAACAGCATCAGCAGCAACACCACACTGACCGAGACGAGAGGGCTTCCGCCAGTAGACACCATTCCTATTACCATGACAAGCGGGGACGCGCAGAAGGAGAGCTGAGTCCATACGTCTCTCGTCACGAGGCTTATTCTCCTAATCACTGGCGCTACGACGACCATCATTCCATGGATTCTACGTCGGGTTCTAGGAACTCTGCCTATCAAGATGGTGCAGCCAATGGGACTGGAAACACACCGCCGCCGTCGCCGCATATACCCCCACGATACGACTACTCGTCGTCGGCCTACCCAGAGAATCATCCATCATCTTATTACCCGCCCCCACCAGCCCATGGTGGCCCACCCGTGCCCCCTTACAGCCGCGGCGGAGGTTATAGCTATTACCACCACCACCCCAATAGTCGACCTCCTCCCATGATGCCAAGGGATATGCATTATCACCCATATCATCCGGATATGCCTCCACCGCCGTACCACCAAGGACCGTATCCCCCTCCTCATCCTCATGGTATGCCACCACCGAGGTTTGAGACTCCACCGCTGACGCCAACGAGTACCACTAGCTATTATCATGATCAGCAGTACCCCAACTTCTTGCCGCCGTCAGCCAGTATCACTACGTCTGGTTCCTCGGGATCTACCATGTCGCCCAGAGAAGCCGGGGCAGAGGACGACTACTACTACGGGGGCAGTGAAGGACATCACGGCTCTACACCGGGACCAAATGAGGTCAACCAAGTGGGACAACACGATGTTCTTTGTGGAAGGTAAGAAAAATGAATTTGGGACCTGTCTACGCGTTATCATCCAGTCTTGTGATTCTCACTGTTCTCGCTTCGCTTTCTTTTCTTTCCTTATACAGAGGAGCTCCCACCAACTATCACCCTGGCAATGAATTCTTTCGGGATCTAGTCAAGGAGTATCAGAGTACCTACCTCTCGTCCAAACGTGCGGATAAACCTTTTGTGGCTAGCCACATTGTCAACATTATCCAATCTCGAGGCGGACGCTTTCTCAGACGATACAAACGCAATGGAGTCTCCTGGGAACGGGGACACTTTGTCTGGGTAGAAGTAGACCCTCAAAAGGCTTATGAGAAAGCATGTCAAGCGCTCCGTGAAGGAGCTCCCGAGCTCCGCAAGAAACTGGCCGGAACCGGAAGCAGTACGTTTAGTGATGCCGAGGACGACGCAACAACCGTGGATGACAGAAAGCAACCCTCCACACCCAACAGGAAAGAACGAGACTCCTCCGCCAGTACAAGTCATGCTGACGAGAGGATACAAGACGCGGGTGAAGCAGAACGCGATGGCAGCGCGGGCTCTAGCAAGAAGCCTGCAGCAGCCGGGTCCAGTCAAGATGACCGCAATGACGAATTGCAAAGCAGTGAACGAAGCTAAGACAGCCAGCCTTCAAGTCAGCCTCATCACGAGGCAGTTGCATGACGATCAGGCTCTTCAGCAGAGGGGACCAACATCAGAGAGTTGTTTTGTATGGGTATGTTGATGTTGTTGTTGTATGGGCAGAAACTATATTGTTCACGTAGATAGAAAAAGATGCATGACAAAAGCAAAAAAGTGCATGTGTGTAGATACACAAACAGAATAATGAGATAAAACCAAAGTCAATTCATCAGGTGTCTCAAAGCTGTTTCAACATGACTGTCAAGTCGGGAAGCGTGGCATGGTTCCGGTAGAACAGGAGCTTATTGGTTTGTGTGGATGTGTTGGCCTGGTGGGCTGTTGGATGGCCCACATTCAGGATGGATGGATTGAAGCTGGATTGACTTGGCATCCGATGGTGTTCCAAGATGGTTATGTAAAACTTGCGTTTTTCTGCTCTGTTGTGATGCCTATCGCACAGATTGGTCATTTCCAATACTGTACTCTGTTGCGTTTTTATGTAGATTGTTTCTTTGTCAATCCCTTTTCAGGACGTTCCTCAACAGCTTTGTGATCCAAAGCAACGTCACCTCCAAGCTCAGAGGGGATAATGACTTTGGAGAAACCCAATTTGGCCAAAGTCGCCTGAATCTGTTTATTGGATCCTGAGTGGATCTGGATCTAACTCACTGAGCACACATCCTTTGATACTGAAAGTAACTTCCTCTGCGAGAGCTCTGTTGAATTGCTTGAAATTGGCGTTGGCAGGACAAAAATGGACTAACATTACCATTCCCTTCTTCTGGGTTTCTCCATCCATCAATCCTGCATGAAACGTTAACACATGGTCTTAACCATTCTTTCATGGGTGTATTTGGGTTTGTCCTGCAAAGATGGATCAAAGAAGAGCACACTGCGACCAGAAGGATATTTGAGTTGCTGATCAGTCTTGGATCAACTACCGGCCTCAGGGCAGGAGAGCCAATCCATTCTTCAGGCTGCGTGTGTAAAGGGTTTGAAATCCATCTCGGGTCCAAAGATTGTCACACGCTTGTCCCAATACTTGATGTATCGCGTATGGGCCAGAGCTACATTGAAGGCTTTCGCATCTCAGAAACTGGAGCTTGAAATCCTCTGAAAGCAGTTCAGGAGTTCAGGGCATTCTGATGGAGCGCGGGTCAAGTTATCCTCAGAAACCTTGGGTTGGATTTTGTTTCACGGTGGCGGCATTGAATTCTTTCAACTTCTCTCTTGAGGGTGATCCTGGCTGTAGCGATCTGCTTTAGAGAAAATAAATGAGTTCTTTGGGCATTTTATCTTGGTTTTAGTCTACTTGTTGTATCAGTTGGACTTTGGCAGCAGCTCTTGAGCGGTTGAAATTGTGGGAGGCAACTTCACGCTGCCGTTGCTTCTCGCTTCTTCTTTATTTGGATGCGTTGGAATTCGAAAGAGCATTTAATTAAGCCAGAAAGAGCTGTGTGGCATCGCACCTCAAAGAGTGACAGTCTCTCCTGAGAGGAGTACGAGTATCTTCTTTCTCGCTCTACTAGCTAGCTAGAGTAAGGTAGCCGTAGACGAGATGTGCAATATGAGTGGCCTTTGCTCGTACGAGCTACTAGATTGATACTGGTAGTAAGCTTAACGACCTCATAGACTGGTACCTGGTAACTTTGGTTGCAGATCGGTAACCACATGTCCCACTGACCCTCCCTATTGGATGTTGTTGCCCATGAGGTCATGAAAAACTAGCTAGATGTTGAAGGCTACTGGCGAAAACCAGGTGCTACACGAGTCGAGTCATTGGAGGTGGGAAAACGCCTCATTTAGAGGCAATCTGAACCAAACAGAACCTGAACCACGGTTGTTCAATTGTGGTTCAAATGGAGCTTTACTGGCAATATCATGGTGCGTATTTTACGGTAGATTCCATCACACTCCTACCGTATCTACTAGCTAGACTACTAGTATGCATACAGTACGGTACCAGTAGCAGTGTACGAGGGCTGTAGCCAATCGACTGAATGATGGTTCAATCGAATGCATCGATCGAAGATTCGAATTGGATCCTTCATCCTCCAGCGTTAACTCGATCATCGATAACCATCGCCTCCTGGCTTCACACCATCACACGACACGAGCGTCAATGACACCACCAGGACTTCGAAGCGGAAGAAACTGCATCTAATTATACCGTACCTGGTTCGTAGCTACCGGCACCTTACAACTTCCTACCGTACTCCAGTCTCAAGATCAAAATTGAATTCCACCAGGAAAGGATCAAGATGAACGGCATCAGAAGGAGCTTCTGTATTGCTGGTTTTCTGTCACGCCTGTGGTTGATCTGCCCTATTCTTGCCGTTGATGTGCGACTAATTGAACGCCACCATTGGAATGACACGTCTCTGGTTCAGCTTGTGGAGAATCTGCGTCAAGTGATTGTAGTACAACCACAGGATCCCACAAGAAAATCATCGAAGGATGATGACAAAAATAATAACATGACATTGACATTTCCCTTGCCGTGTGCCTACGAGCAATCACTGGGCCATGACGACTATCACCACTACTACAAGTACTGGATTCAAGAATCGACATCGTCCTTGTTGGCCGCCAAAGCGCTTGCCAAAACAGCGCGCAAGACACGTCCGCGCTTGGATGATTTTGCCTGGGACATGATGGATGCTCTCTTGCTACAACCAGAACAACTGAATAAGAAGGAGGATGGAGGAACCACTTCCAGCAGTTGGTTCTTTCAATCTCAAGGACTCTTGCCAAAATATTGGTACATTGCCACAAAAGAGCAGCAAGAACAGCACGAAGTATTACCCATGAGAATTGAACTGGAAGCTGTCACAAACAATACTGCCAGTGGGGAACGGTTTACTCATCCACCCTATGTGCATGGGACACGGTTCCCTCATTGGTCTTTGTTTGCTGGCAACACAAAAGATCTCAATGTCACACTTGATCTGGATGGTAGTAGTCTGATGCAATCATCGCATCGACTATCCGCCATTCCGTTGCATGCTTCCATGCTGTGGGGAATGGTCTTGGCCGTCATTCCACCTGAACAAGACAAAGACAACAACAATCCACAAGATTTCTTACGACAACAGAATTCCCAGCCATCACAACATCATCGCCCCTACTCGTATGTCTACAAGGAAAATCCCAAATGGTGGGATCGAGTATACGCCTACTATCAACGCATCTTTCGGCATCATGCGTATCTCCATCAAGTGGTCATGCGGGGATGTTCACAAAAACAGAAACAACAACAGACATCGTCCGTCCCTTGTTACAATATTCTTCATCCCTGGGAAAGTTTGATCGATCCCACGTCGCCCACTTGGGCCACTGCACTGGCACCCATTATGAGGCGGATTCAACAAGAATCCTGGACGCCGCCCTTTTCCATTCCACGTCAAGTCAGAGAATCCTATGACTTTCCCAAACAAAATCCACTCGTCTATGATGCCATGATTTACTTGTTGGTGGAAGGATGGAATACCGTCAATATTTCAAAGGCATGTCCCGCCAACGAAACTACTAACCATGGCACTCCTTCCGCGTGTGGGGAAGATGCCATTTGGAATGCCACTTCCTCGTTTGCCATGCTGGATGTAGGGTATGCCGCGGTATTGGCGCAAGCCGACGATGATTTGTATCGATTGGCACAAATCTTGGAACGGGTGCTACCCGATGCGTCGTTGTCGCAACAAATGTCAATACTCGAAACGTGGCAATTGGACAATGCGCGTCTCTTGCAACAAGTCTTGTGGAATCCACAGTATCAAACGTACATGTCCAAGTACTACAATAGCCAACAACAGAAGATGGAATGGTTGGATACTGTCGCCGTGTCCAACAACTTGTTGCCCTTTTGGAATGTGGCGGCCACGGGGGATATTGTGGACGCTGACGACAACAGCGCCGATGATGATGACCTTAGTGGCAACAAAAAGCGGAAACAGAAAAGGCAACCCAACAGTGGCAAGATGGAACATGACGACAATGATGATGATCCAGCCAACAGCAAGAAGCTGAGTGCCTTGGCACGTGAACACTGGCAAGATCTTTCGCTCCAACTGCTGCGACGGGATGGACGCTTTGCATTTGATTGTGGAAGCTTTCCTATTTGGTCCATGGGGTGTCAAGACAGCGTGGGCCACAATGAGTCGCATCCCATCATTCAGCCCATTGTAAACTATCTTGTTTCCAGTGGTCTGTTTCAAAGCGACAAAATGGAGATCTTTTCCAACTATCTCTCTGGACAGTCCTTGTCGCTCTTTGTCAGACCCAACATGGATATTGACAGCACTTCTCGTCGTGGCCCCACTTACTTTGGAGAAGCTTTTGGTGTGGAAACTCCCTACCCCAATCTCGCTGCCTGCGATATCTGCGGTAACACTTCGACCATCACAGCAGCGATTGTCTACAACTTTCGTTCTCCCGATCCTACCCATGCGAATCGGCTGCCATTGCCACCCATCCGTCGGAGCTGGGTGATCACACTGGTTACTATTGAGCTCTTTGTCGCCTTTTCCATCGGAGTGTCTTGTTTGGTTGTGAGCTTTAGCCTAGTGCGAAAGCTTCAGCGCCTGGTTGATGAAGAAGAGTTGGTGGGTTGGGAGGACGAAACCATGTCAAATGGGGCTGTTGTTGGCGGGTCCTATTATGCTTCGACTGCTACAAACGAAGATGCACCCGAGGTATCACCAGCCGTTGCCGCAACCACTAGCGGAACGTCACCACTTTTGGACACGAAAGATAACGCAACCACTGGATCGGCGACAGAAACAGCAATGGGAGCCCAGTCTTTCTTCAGTAGCATTGGTCTGAACTAGCTTCCAGTCAGAGGGGCAAAGCGGAGCTTGGCATCACTACGGTCTACAACAATGGTTGCTCCCCTTGTCGCTCTTCTCGAGACCATAACTATCTTGACAGCAATACTCTGCGTTAGAGCCACTGCCTGGCACAGCACATGAGCTCCAGAGGGGCACCTTTCCAGGCCGCGTACCGGTACCTGGCAGCTATATTTTCTACACACTACGGTAAAACAGGACAATGCCAGGGGAGACCCAATGTCATCCTTGCCAATGTGCAATCCTACTACTAGCGAGCAGTTACGGAACTACGAGAGTGGTCAGCCCCGAAACGAAGAGGCAAACATCGCGAGTTGGGGAGCCACGGACATGCATGCAGTTTCGCACTTTAAATAATTGAGCCATATACTCAGTCGCAACATCTCCTCCGATGCCACGATGGAGGCTTGCACTTTGTCACGGGCTGTCCAAGGGAGACGTCTTCGCGTCAGTCGCCAGATCGTCCGTTCTGGCTGTCGAACTGAATCTTCCTGTTGCTGCTCCATTCAATCTTCTTCTGATACGAAAACAACGTTCACGTGTGTGTCCTTCGCCTTTTCCGCAATTTTCTCGCCGGGTTTGTGTCCACCAGCCAACCGAAGTTCTTTCAGGCATTTCATCTCTGGGAGCAAAGCCACGAATCGATCGATAGAGAAACCGTTGACGATGGTAAGCTTTTCCACCGTGTCGTTTTGAGTCAATGCCTTTCCTAGCTTCTCCCAATGCGACTCCTCGGCATACATTTGAATCTTGAGCTCCTTCAGAGTTGTGTTGGCTGCCAAGGCCACAAAGAGGGCGTCCAAGTCGAATGCGTCATCATGCAAGACCAAATCAATCGCCGTGAGCGTCGCTGGGGCGCCCGCCTTGAATATTTGTAACAAGGCCGGAAAAAGTTCCACGGCATCGTCGTCAGAGTAATGCATGGCGAGCTTTTCAAGCGTCTCGCTCGCTAGCAACCCTTCCACAAGTACATCAGTATTTGCTTTGCAGTCGCCCCTGTCACCGCACCTTTTGCATTTCACAAAACCCAATTGCCGCAAACCTTTCATAGAACCAATGGCCGAATAGAAGCAGGTAGCAGCGGAAGCCGTCAAGTTCGACGGCATGATGTGCAAAGATTCGATCGTTGGGTTCTCAATCAAAGCTGCTTTCAGTGCATCTACACCAGCATCTTCAAACATTTTCCCTGCGGAATTCCAATCTAACCCAGAATAAAGCGACAAGGTCTTCAGCGACTGGTTTTCCTTGAGTGAACGTGCCAGCGGCGAAACATCGACATCTCCGCATGTGTGATGGAAGACCAGCTTGACGCGCTTGCTTTTATTGCGCAAGAGGCTCGAACCGAGTGCCTCGAGTATCGCTGGGGTCACTTTGTTGAACTGGATATCCATATCCACACTGTCGAGAAAGGCGAAACCCTTCGTAAGGGCTAGAAGGGCTCCCTCTGTCTCCTTCTCGAAACTGACCTTTAGGAAGCGCAATGACTCGTTCTTTTCAAACCCTCTACAGAGCGTTTTCATATTGTCAACGTCTTCGGCATAGGCATACCTCATTTCTAGCTTCTCTAAGCTGGGGGCAGCAGACAGGACCCATGCCAAAATCTCTACATTACCTTTGCTGAGCTTCACCGAGGAAACAACGAGGGTTTTCAGAGCAGGCAAGGTTCCCATCGGAATCTCCTCGTCAAGTACAAATGTGGGATCATGCGTATCGTCACTCACAAGATCAGAAAGCTCAATATGGTCCAGCGAAGAAGAGACCGTCAACATTTTTTTCATCAGGACAGCTCCCGCCGTAGAAATCTTGACTTGTTTGATCTTCAGGGTCTTTAGACAATTTGATGGTTCCTTGCAATCAAGCTGCGTGGTCAGACCAACGAAGAACTCATCGGAAATTTGGTTCGTCACGGAGACCCTTGGAATGCCTAGGTTCATGATGACTTTGGCTGCATCCGCTAGTTTCCCGCTGCTGGCGAAAAGATAGAAATCTTGCCTCTTGTCAGGCCCGGGATTGTATTCCTCTTCGTCTTCGTCATGTCGTATCTCTATCTCCACGCCTGGCTTTGACGAATCCAAGGCTTTGAGAAACAGAATACAGTCAGAAGGCTTCACCGTCCCATCCTTGAGCAAGGCAATCTTGCCATGAACAAACTCTCGAAGAAATTCAGCCGTTCCAACGGGCTTCTCTCCGTCACCATACCGTCGCGGCGGCACTACCGTAGTATCATCTTTGACTTTTAGATACAAGCTTGTTTTCACTGTCCAATCATCGATCTTGGACGGGTCGAGCTGGGAAACGTTCGATGTCATCTCCTCCACCTTCGCAACAACCTCTACAAGCCGACCAAGGGCAGTCTCCGAACTCTGGACATCGACTGCCTCCACATGCCGTAGCGTCAAATTCGTTGAAGCGATCTTGTCCACAAGGATATTCAAACCTTCTTCTTCAAACGTGTTGTCGGATATGTCAAGCAACACCAATCCTCTCATGTTAGGAAGTAACGAGAAGAAGACTTCAAAGCCCCCGTCAGTGCAGTAGATTGTATCCAAATGAAGATTCGTCAGAGAGGTATTTGCGCACATTGCTTCCGCAAGTTGCTTCATCCCGCCTGCCACGAGATCGTTGCCGCCCAGCTTTAGCGTGGTGAGAGATGTATTCACTGCTAGAGTTCCAAAAATAGAAGAGAAATCGATCACTTGTTTGGAAGGGGGGGCTTCATGGCCCCCCTGTCCGGCACTGAACATGCCGGTCAAGTTCAACGTTTTGAGAGTGCAGCCATCCTTTCTCAGTAGATCAGAAATGCTCACAAGGGCATTTGGCCCGCAATTGGTACATGCAAGGTTCAGGTATTCTAACATTGGCAGTGCGCACACTCCAGTAATAAGCCGACTGAACAATTCCTCCGGTAATCGACTGCTCCTGAGCTGGACAGCGGTCAATTTCATCAGAGTTGGCATGAGATTTAAAAGAGGATCCAAGCTTTCTGGGCGAGGCCTGCTTTTGGAAACATCAGGATCGTCTTCTTCACAGGCCTTTGTCTCAGAAAGGTCGAGGGTGGTTAGATTCTGAAGTGAGCTGACGGCCAATGCCACAAACCTACAAAACGGTTCGCAACAATGTTGCGTAAGCCACATGCAACCCACGTCCAAAGTGCGGATGGAGCTGTTGGAACGAAACCCTGCTTCCAAGGCCGACAGGAAATCATAGGGCATATCCCGACCGCTGCAAACTCGAAGAACCTGAGGACCGGAGCCACCTGGCTCGGAGAATGCCTGCAGCAGTTTGTTGAAGAGCTGAATCGTAGCATCCCCATAGACATTGTTGAGTTCAATAACCTGCAAGGAGTTGACTGATGCTGCCTTCTGTGCTAGGTAGGTCGACAGCGACGGAGCAACATGACCAAACTGGAGCTGGTTTGGCTGCTTCTCAAAGAGTAGATCAATGAGATCTTCTGGCCTTCCTGTCCTCTCGAGAATATCCGTATTACCACATCCCTGGCTCGACTGGGACAATCTTGTTTGGCGCTTCCCGCGGGAGGCAGAGTAAATGTTCAGCTTGCCGTGGTTCACCCCTGGTTTCGAATCACATCCAGAAGCGACAAGCCTCCTTTTCGCAATTTCTTCGTCGGTCTCTTGCTTCTCTTCTTCTTCTGACTCAGAACTATCAGAGCTACTAGAGCCGGAAAACGAAGGACAAATGAAATCGTCGGAGACATCGACGTTGTCTACTGGGAGTGGCGGTGGGGGCGGGGCTTTCACTTGTTTGGGTTCTCGCTCGTTGGCAGTCTTCAGCGTAACCTTTAAATGTTCGTAACGGTACGCATGGCCGTTGCGCGCCTTTTCGTAAAACTCCACCAGGAATATCTGGTCTTGTACTTCCATATCCATCTTTGCTACAGCATCATAATCTCGAATGCACACCGTGCCCTTGTTGTAGTCGAAGTAGTCAGAATCCGTTTCGGGATCGTAATAGCTGTCTGCATCAGGAGGTGGATCCCTTCCCAACTTTTCGCGGACTTCCTTTGTCACCAAGTAAATTGGGTAACTTCTTGAAATGCAAGAACTAGCGCAACCATTCGGATTGCGCAACTTCACCATGGTTGGTTGATACGGTAGCGATGTTATGGTAGCTGGGATGAAACCTCACAACTGGAGCTGGAGCGTTCCGCAAATGGTGCGGAAGCCACGATTCGAGTAGGATTTCGAATCGGATTTAGAGTAGAGTGTGAAACTCTACTCTTTAGAATTTTAAAATTCTCAAACTCTACTAAAACGATAAGCGGACACACAAAAACCTCCCAGTCGTGCTTCAAAGAATCTGAAAAAGATCGGATCTTCGACTATCCGGGACATGAACCGGTACGGAAAAGCAAGAGGATTTAATTAAAGTTTTATTATTTTAAAGTTACTACAGGTTGTACAGTACCAGGTACTATGTACATAATGGTAGGTACGGTACCACAGTACTGGAAGGTTCCGCAAATAATTAAAACATTTAAATATCATCAATTCGTGATTAATTAATGTGATGAATGGTGATGAATAGTGATGAATTCATCACCAATTAAGGCCCGGCGCATGGAAATCCCCACCACCGTCTGTCTGTCGTCTCATAACTCCAGCGTTGGCTTTATCGAAAAGACTTTTATTATGACCCAGTACTCACATCGTGTAGAAACCTACGTAAAATTAATCACAACCAACCAAAACCTCATAAAACAGATCCAACGAAAAGGATCGACCATGGCCAACGGCCGAATCGATACACCATCATCAGTAGCTCGAAAACACCAAACAGACAAGAACAACAAGCTTATTAACACTGCCGGTCCCATTGGAGCCTCTCAGCAACAGCGGAAAGTCCTCTACGGGGCCAAACGGCCGAACGATCAAGTGATTGCTGCAACAGAAGATACCGGTCATTTCACGTAGAACCTGGTACAGTTTCTACAGGAAGATCATCTTCAAAAATCGCAATCACACCCACAACACCAACCAACCACAACACGAAAGCACTACCGACCAACCAACCAAACTGTCCACTCCTCCCAACTAGAAACTCCTTGCCGCTACGAGAATCAGTCCCCAACCCCACTCCCTACCAATAAGTTTCTAGAAGGTTCAGTTCCAATACCCAAGTAGTGGACTGGATCTCGCTGAAACCCTTCCTCAGGGACAGCGGTAGTCAGGCAGTTCAGGGAGCATTTTCGTGCCTCAGGAGTGTTCCAACACCTCCAGTAGGCACCAAACCAAGGACTTGGTCCTGTCAGTCAGACAGGAGGGCCAGCAGAGCTCTCTGCTGGGCCCTTTGGGCCAGCTCTCCTCAGGAGCTGGGGGCCTTCGTTATTCAATCGTGCAGTGGCAGTCTGGGAACAGTACTATCTGCTACCTCCTACTGCTTCTGCCCGGCCTCAACAGGATTGGTATCAACTGCTGCGGTATCAATGGGGCTACAAGCTAATCAGGATCGGTCTCAATCTTTCGTACTATTTTCTTAACTATGGTAGAAAGGACGATCCTTTCTTGCTGCTTTGGCTGGAAATAAGCCAGCTGCGGGTGCTGGAGCTGTAGGCCAGCATAGCTGTTGGAGCTATCTCTGACGGGATCCAGAGCTCTCGCTCCTAAAAGTTATCGCTCCCCACGAGTGCGTATGGATCCGCTCTCATGGGAATGCCACGATATACGATTAGTTACTAACTAACTACAATACATACTCTCCCCATGAACGGAACATTCATGGGCCACTCAGCATCGGCTGCTAGTGGAACACAAGGTGAGATTGGAGATCTCACAAGTGGAGGGACTTGCATGGTTGGTCGGTTGCTGGACCAAAGGTAGGCGCAAATGGATTGCGTGCTTCATCAGCATGACCAGACTCGGTAGGTGTCGGCGGTGCTGGTTGCTATCATAGCTGTTGTTTGTTTTCTTCATATGTAGACAAATATTCGTGGCTTTGCCACAGGCCGAATTCAGCGGTGGCAAGCTCTCAGTGGAGCGGCCTTCTTGCCCCGCAATCATGTCCCTTGACGGATGGGATGGATGGGCTGTACCAGACAGGGACGTAGTCTAGTTGCCCGTCCGAAAATCCAGGGGCGTCACCGGGATTGGTCCATTGCCATGCACCAATGCCATGGCAGCCAGCTTTGGGGTAGAAAGCATGGTGGCGGTCGGCTTCGGGGAAGGGGACACCATGGCAGTCAGCTCCTGGGTAGGAGACACCAAAGCTGTCTTGGTCAAAGGTGCTTGCTGTGGTTGCTTCCCATGGATTCCACCAAGAGCAGAGGGTATCTGCTTGGTGGGCCTCCTGGCAAATGGACTGGTGATGGTTGTACCAAGGCTGGTCCTATCCAAAGACAACGGCACCTCATTGGGTACGAGTCTTGTGGCATTGGCTGTGCCATAGGTTGGTGGTTCTGTGGGAACCAGGCTGGGAACCTTGGGTGTCACTGTGGGTGATGGACCACTAGGTCTCCTGCCAATGTTGATTGTGGTGGGACCCTTGTGTGCTCTGTGCCTTGGAGCAGGTTGCTTGGGGGTCACCACTGTGTGAGTCTGCTCATGTGCTCTTGGTTGTAGAGCTGACTGAGTGGGAGCCACACTTGGTCTATTTGGTTGTGCAGCTGCAGCTGCAATGTTGTTGGTGCCAGCAATGGAAGCTGGTTGCCTGTTGGCTGGAGGTTTTGCCATCATGATCTCCCCAGAGGTTGGATGACTACTAGGGCTGGCAAGCTCGATAATCTCCCCATCATCCAACGATGGATGGGCACCAGCGAGGGCATTCAAGGGTGTGGCACTGGGCAGCTGGTGGCTCGTTGCTGGGACACGCAGGGGTCGTGTGACAGGCAACTCCCCACAAGCTAGCTTGGGAGATGGAGCCATGGCTACATTGGTGGGCAGCTGGTTGGTGGCCAAGAGGGCATCAGTCAGTCGTTGCTGGATGGCAGTGGCATCTTGCTTGGAACGAGTAGCCCTGTGGCGCTGCTCCTGCTTCTTTGGGCTGTGGAGCTGTTGGGTACCAATAGCACTGTCACCAGTCGGCTTGTGGACGCCATCAGCACTGCCCATGGCTGGCAGTGGAGTGGCATTGGTCTCCCCATGAACTGATGGTGTCAAAGCAGGTGTAGGTGCTGTGACAGGTGGCCTAGCAGCTACCATGACCAAGGCGTCCAGTTGAGCTGTCAGTTGGTCCTTCAGGGCGATGAACTGAGCTTCCATCTTTCGTTTGAAGGTTGCGTGGTCAGCTCTCATGTCTTGCTTGAATGATTCGTGATAAGCTCTCATGAGGTCGAGTTGTCGAGCAACGGTGACCTGTTGCTGTTGAAAGCGGATCAGCATGTCTTCCATGGTTGGGTTATAGATGAGGTCTGGGTGACAACTGGAGCTGTCGAGCGACAGCTCTGAAATCTCCCCATCACCCAGCTGGTGATTGATCCTACCATAGGCCATTGGTGCCGGCCTCTTCTCAAGGATGTTGAACGGTGATGTGTATGCGTCTGGTGGGGACACTGTTGACACAGGTGGTGCCGGTGTCTTCTCAAGAATGTCAAAGACGGATTTGTGTTCATCTGGTCGTGACACTGGTGGCTGTGTCTGCTGATGCCGGTGGCGGTAGGCTAGGTTGCTGTTGCCAGCTCCATCGTGGTGTGTGGGGTGGGCACAGCTACCTTGGACTTGTTGGGGACCAGAGTAGACGTAGTGCCAGCCACGGTCGGAGTAGCCAGGTGCATAAGGGTCGCTCACATCGCTGTAGAGACCATAGAAAGACATGGTGCCTCTTGTTGCTGACAAAGAAGAGGTGTAGGCTGTACTTGGTGGCAACACTGGATCTCAGCTCTTGTTGCAGTGCAATAAAGGCTGGCTCAACTGTAATCTGGAATCCACAAAGATGACCTCCAGGAACCTTACTATGGGCCTGGAAAATTCAATCTAGGTGTAGTTGAATAAGGTAGCCAGTGTAGAGGGTCTGGAACCTGCTTCCTGAATTGCCGTGGTGCTGGGAATTGGCTTGGATTTGTGAGATTTTGCCTCACTGGAAGCTAGCTTACTGGGATCAATGAATCTCCCCACAAAAGCTCCTAAAATTCAAGGTGAGATACCCACTGACCAATTGAAGGGTGGTGGTGACAGTGGTACCACTTTCAACCAAGCGAATGGACCTCTTGGTTGTCTCGTGGCTCTCCGAGTTGGGCTTGGTGATGCGATGGATGGTGCGGAAAGATCTCGATTTCGTGCCGAATTCAATGACTCGACGGTGTAAACACCTTAAATTGTGAGCTCGCTTCCAGTTTACGGAGGCTGAGCCTGCTTTCGGTACGGAGGATTCGTGGCTTAAAGAACGAAACCGGTACGGAAACTTGTGCAATAAAGCTTCGAAAATCCTGGATCGCAAAAGAACTCTTTGACGTTCTGCACACTGACTCAGTGCACGTTCGATAAGTACCAAAACTTGTGAATCCTGCACGGGTGATCTGATTGGCTGATCGGCTTTCCCAGGATCTTCTTCGCCGTTCCGTGGAATCACTGAAATGGTACAGGACAGAAACTCGTGACACTCGAAAACTGCATGGGTCGTCTGACGAGATAAGCCTCGTATGTTGTGATAAATCCAAACGTTCCGTGTAAATGGCTGAATTGACCGGCGAGTGATAAGCCCCGCACAAAAAGAGATAACACGCGTACCACGTAATAAACAGCGGTGACTTTTCAGTTGCCAAAGCGGTGCAAATCAATAAGTCTCGCGTTCTCCGAAATTCCAACTAGTGTCAGTTGATGCGAAGCACTTCTTCTTTCGAGTGAATTGGGTGCTTTTCCTCTCTTCGAGTCGAGTAGCAATGTCAATGGCGTCCTTGATGAGGTTGTTTGTGTAGTTCCTTCTCGATGGCAATGGGCTTTGTGTTGGTATTGTGGATGGTAGAGGACCAATCCAAAGGTACCTGACGCTCTGGTGAAGGCTAGAGCTGTCAGAATTGATCAGAAGGTTGTTGACTAATGACTTCAAAATGGGCCTTGAAACCACCTCAAAATGCCACTGAAATTCAATGAATTCAACTGTAGCTGTAGCACTGATTGTTGTAATGCAGAGAGCTCCTTGGCAACCTGGAGACTCTCCTTCCCTTAAAACTGCCTGAATTCTATGCTGACTGTTAATCCAATAAGTTTCTAGAAGGTTCAGTTCCAATACCCAAGTAGTGGACTGGATCTCGCTGAAACCCTTCCTCAGGGACAGCGGTAGTCA